TAAGCACCAACTTGGACAAAGCCGGTGCCTTTTAGGAGTAATTAATTTCAGCAGAGCCAAAGCCAATTCTCAGGGCAGCTCTGGCAGCCAGCCGCAGCGAAGGTCGCAGCAGTCATGGCCCCTCGGGCTGGCGGCCAGCAGCATCTATAACCCTGGGGCTCTGGCTGGGGGGACTGCTACAGGTACTGCTTCTCTCCTGCCCAGACGCCAGGCAAGGCAGGTCCTGGATAATTGTGCCAAAATAATTAAGTCCCTACACTGCTCTAGGACGGCAGCACGTCCGATTGAACTTGCAGACACCAGTCTGTTTCTGACTGTGACTTGCTGTTCCTTCCCCTCCGTGAATACAGGAAAATTTACAGCTGCAGCTCGCACGGCATCTGCTCACCTCTTCGGAGCAGAAATCACTTGCTAGTGCTGTACCAGCACGAACTGCTGATGGGACAACGCACTCAACAGGACAGCCCAAACTCTTCTGCTACGTACAACCACCACCGAACCAAATAAAGTTTGCATTCCCATTGTCCCTGAGCTAGCTCAAGCCCCAAATATCCAAACTCAGCTTTCACTATGGCTTGTGCTTGCAACATTCATACTTGCATGCCTGCCATTCTCTCCAGGGTCACCAGTTTATGAAAGTGTCCGAAGCCCAGAAGACAGCCGAGCCTGTTCCTACCACCAGGGAGCACGTTCCCGTTTTCTCAAAACTGTCTCCAGTCTGGCTCAACAATTTACTTCTCTAATTCTGTTTTCATGAAAGCAGAAACCAAAGGAAATTACTGTGGATAAACAGATTAGCTGTGGCAACTTCGTGCCAAGTATACAATGAGCATTTTGGCCTTCATATCCCGGACACCACCACTGCTCTCCTACCAAGCAGGAGGCACAAAAGTCTCTGTCTCTTTGTGCTGCCTAACGCAGGCAACAAACCAAGCCACTGAAGGCAGGAGAGATAGCCAACGTACTGACAGCAGTTATCTATTCAAATGCATCTTAGACTGGAAAAGCATCCCTGGTTAAGCACCTGAATTTGAACTTCTTACAACTTAAGCCCAGAGCAGGGAACACCCCGAGGCCAGCACAGGAGACAGCCACTGTGTTAACAACTCCGCTTCCCTACA